GTTTTATTAAAGATTCCACATCTTCAAGAAAATGACCTCTATTTCTACACCTTTGTTTTCTGTTGCCACTTTGCCTTTCTTGTGTATATGAAAAAGTATGTATATCAATAATTCAGTTTTAGGAGTATATAGATAAAGAAATGGACTGATGGTCAATATACAAATAGTTTTCTGCAGATTTCTTGTATTCATGTTCTGAAGGAATCAAATATTAGTGTCATTTAAGGTGTAATTTTTCTCTTCCTTTTTTATTTAAGTTAGAAACAAGCTTGTTTCACATGTCAATCCCAGCTCCCTTTCCCCCCTTCCCCACCCTCCCCACCAGCCTCCCCCAGTCCCCTACCCAATCTCTACTCTAATCCCCAGGGAGGGTGAGGCCCTCCATGTTGGATCTTCAGAGTCTGTCACCTCATCAAGGGCAGGGCCCAGGCCCTCCCACAAGAGTCCAGGCTGAGAGAGCATCCTTCAGGGTGAGATGGGCACTCAAAGTCTATTTGTACCCCAGGGATAAATACTATCCAAGGCCTCATAGATTACCTAGGTCTCCTCACTGACACCCACATTCAGGGGGCCTAGGTCAGTCCCATGCTTTCCACACAGCCATCAATCTGTGGTCCAAGAGCTCCCCCTTGTTCAGGTCAGCTCTTTCCGTGGGTAAAACCAACCCAGTCTTAACCCCTTTGCTCATCAGTTCTCCCTCTCTGCCACTGGATTCCAAGAGTTCAGTTCAGTGTTTAGTTGTGGGTGTCTGCCTCTGCCACCATCAGTTGCTGACTCAAGGTTCCGTTTCCCAGTAAAGTATATTTTTGAGTCGTAGATTAATCAATGGTAATAGGTGTGTAAAAATTAATTAATTCCTACCTCTGACAAGTGTGGGATAATTTTAAGAGCATTCATATTTTTCTAATAGTGGGTAGAATTAACTACTGGTTTGCTGAATATAGTTCCATCTTGGTGATGACCTAAACCTCACTGAATTTTTATTTGCCTTTCCCTATCACTCGGTCCTGTACTAGAGAAGCAAGTTTACTCATGATTGGTCTGTTTCCTCTATAGCTGATAATGCTCTAAAGGGCAAACATGGTTTATATTTTATTGTTTTACAACCCTTTGCTATATGAAAAGGATATAATTAACTGATCATTGAATTTCCGCAGTAATGTTTAAAGGCACATCTAATAATTTATTAGGATTTTAGACTCAGAGATGGTTTTGTAGATGTGAATACCACATTAGTGTAGCTTCTGCCTAACTTAATTCTGTATGTAAGCAAATTAGTAAAAAAAATAGGATGAATTAACACATAGCATTCTAACTTTAAAGTAAGAAAAAACACTCAAAGGAAGAAAAGTGAGTGACTCCAAATGAGAATTTGACAAACACCAGCTACTGTCATTGAAAATTCTACCATGGTGGGCAAGTGCTTATGCATCTCAAGGATTTGGAGTCAGTTCTCATCTTCTGAGGATTGTATAGATTTGTGGAGGTTATGATCAGTTAAGATCTTAAATATGGGCAACTCTTTGATTACCATCATTTAAGCATTTCTGGTGTTATGCTAGTTGGGAAAAAGCAACCAAGGGGGAATTTCTTGGGCTTTGTCTGATGAACTGGTCAAAAACCATATTAATGAGGTAATTACCACAAAGTTCAGTGATGTCTTTATCATGAACAGGTTTAAAGCACCACCTCATCAGGATTCATATCATATAAAAGCCAGTGGGAAGGACAAACTTTTGGCCTGCTGATGAAGGTGCTGCTTTTCATTAGTTTATCTAGCTAAGTCTATGGAAGGATTTCAATAAAAGTTGTGGCAAACATGAATGTGCAGATTTCTCCATTTATGATGATCCTTATTCCTTCAAGAACATACACAGGAGTGGTACTATGGAGTCATATGGTAATTCTATATTTGGTTTTTGACAAGTCTTCATATTGATTCTATAGTACTTGTACAAGTGTACAATCCCAGTAGTAGTGTTTAAGGTTTATTTTTCTTATATGTTCTCACCAACATTTAGCCTTATACCCACAGGCATGTAGGTATGTGTAGTCTTCATCCCTCATCAACAAAACCTCTCTTTGCAATAGATGGAGACTCCTACAGAAAACCACAACCATTTAAAATGCAGAGTTGTGGAGTCCAGTTCCAAAGGACACATCCTCTTCCAATTAAAAGAAAGGTTTTATTATTACAAATAGTGTGTGTGTGTTTTTGTGCGTGTGTCTTGTGTCCATGGAGGTCAGAAGAAGACATCATATGTCCTGCAACTGTAGTTATAGATAGTTGTTAGCTGCCATTGGCCTGCTGGGAATTTTACTTGAGGTTTCTGAATAGCAGCAAGTGTCTTAATTGCAAACCATTTAACTTTTAAAATAAGACTAACTAAAAAGAAGTATGGAGAAATGGCTCAGCAATTAAGAGAACTCCCTGCTCTTGCAGAAGACAAGATTTCAGTACCAACTAATCATACCAAGAGACTGTACAACCTCATGTAAACAGAAGCTCCAATGTCCTCCTGCATCCATGGACACCTGCATGCCATGCACAGACATACACACTGACATGCAAACATACACCCAAGTAATAATAAAGCAAACCTTTAAAGGACTTTTATAAGTCCAAAATTAATTAATTTTGTCCCAGTTAACAAAGCATTATAGAATAGATATGGCCACTTCTGATTTGGATGAAGTAGCGTTATGAAAGCTCCTTAAGCGAGATATATAATAGAGTTGCAATCTATGAGAAGTTAATATTTTTAGCTCACCTCTCTGTAGAAAACAGTCAGCTATTTGCAGTCCTGGTATCATCAGATCTAATGGAGATTACAGCACAAGTCTGCTTCAGTCAATCTAGACAATTCTGAAATTATTTGGAGACAAGGAGTTTAGGCTTTGCTATTACACCTGTCCTAGTTTGCTTTCTGTTGCTGTGATAAAGTGATCTGACAAAAAAACAAGTTAGTGTGACCCACGCCTAGAAAGTAAAATAACAGGTTATCTCTCATATATGAATCCAAGCTTCACATCTTTAGATTTTTGTGTTTACAGTGGAGTCTATGTAGAAGCCAGGAAGCTACAATAGGGCCACTGGAAGAGGAAAAACCATGGTGATGGAGGGCAAATAGTACAGCAGGTAATGCAAGGTATGCAAGGCATACCAGACATCATTTTATTTCAAGCAGATACAAGTTTTTAAATGAAATTTCCAAAGTTAGTTGTGTGGGTTTCCTTGAGAGAAGACACCACATATTTTGATAAAACATTGAGATAAATCAAATAAGAAAGACACCACATACTTTGATAAAACATGGAGATAAATCAAATAATAACATAGCTAGAAAATTCTCTTCAGGGTTCCTTTATGGTGCCAGAGTGATATCAAAGCTGTTAGGGAAGATACATCCTCAGTGAAATTATTAGTTGATTGAATGACCAAACTAATAAACAAGATCTTTCCAGTGGTGCAATAGTGAAATGACTGGTTTTTTAGGGGCAATCAACAGATTTCTTGCTGGAATTGAGGCCTGCTCTTTGGGGAAGGTACATAACTGGAATGGTAATTGTACAAAGGCTATGGCTATGAAATTGCCAAAAGTAGAAAAAATGATTTAATACATGATTCTGCATCTTTCATAGGAATCAGTATGAAGAGCATATTCTGAAACAACTACAGAAGTCCTGAGTGAGGAAAATTCCAATTGACTCAATATTCACTACATTGAACTGTAAGACACAAGGGTTTTGAGAGAAAGGCTGGCATTTACATTACTAACTTAAGAAGTCCCAAGAATTAGGAAACAGGTGTGGACAAAGGTTTGAAAGAACAGCTTTATGAGAAGGCTAATTCAATCATTGAGGAAAATGACTAAGACCAAGTTAAAGAGTAGAAGGAGCTCCCACAGAAACATGGAAGCCATGAAAGCTAGACTCATGAGTAAATGCATTGATGCTTGAAGGAAGCTTTCTTAAGACACTTATGTGAATTGGCTCCTTGGGATGCCTTGTCAGGTCCACAAGGAACAGTCACAAATGTCTCCCCAATGTCAAATGATAGTCATTTTTCTGATTACTAATATCACACAACACTGGTCACAATGGCATTTACAGAGCAGAGCTAAGAAAATGTCACATCCTATGCTTGATGCAGAGCATGGCACAACATGTGAGTCCTGCATGACAGTCACAACTGCTTCCTTTGTTGTGTCTGTCTTGTAGAGTTAATCTTCAAATATTGCTTCATGGCACCAATAGCCTCCTAAGTAAATGGGTAGCACAAACGCATTTTATCAAATTTCTGGGAGGTAAGTTTCTAGTGATTACATGTTCTTAGGGCCAGTCTTTATTCCATTTTATAACAACTTTAATAAATTTTTAAAGATTCATGTGCATGAGTGTCTTTCCTGCATCTGTGTTTAGGTACTACAGGTATGTCTGGTGCCAAGGAGTTAAGGAGAAACATTCATATCCCCTGGAGTTACAATGGTTGTGAACCACTATGAGTGTTCTACGAAACAAACTAGGAGTCCTCTGCAAGTACTTAAAGTGCTGTGCCATAATTCTGGGTCCACACAGTATTTTGATACAAATTTGATTCAGGGAAAATAAACTGGTAAAATGAACTTGTAAAATCTTCTTGCATTCAATTTATCATATTGTGAAGACCAAAAGAGAAACCTTAACTTGCTCCACTACAACAATTTCATGTTAGGTCGAATCCTAACATAGATAACACTGAATGGTCATTGTTTATGTTCTTTACATTGATGAGAACCACTTGAAGTCTGACATGTGCCTTATGAATGATTTCAAGGATGAGAGAACATTGCTGACTTCCAGAAGGTAAGCAAGAACCTAGCTTAGTCTGTGCCCACCAGGGGGAGGAGTTTCCTTACACTAGATCATTATCCGTGTATATAAACTTCATAGGTTCATCTTTTGATGTTATTTCATTATTTCTTCATGTGAAGAGTCAAGAATATTATTTTGGTGACAAGATGAACACTTCTCCAGCTCTAGTGACTGTGATCCTGCTGTTCATACTAGGTAAGTGAAATGACTTAAAATTTGTGCTCTTTCTTCTATGATGTCACAAAAATATTTAACCATGTAAGAACTTTGTCCTTAATGTAACATAGATACCCTCTTCTTCATGCAGGGAATACTGATGGAGACTCAGTGACCCAGAAGCAAGGTCAAGTGATTCTCTCGGAAGATGACTTTCTATTTATAAACTGCACTTATTCAACCACATCATACCCAACTCTTTTCTGGTATGTCCAATATCCTGGAGAAGGGCCAGATCTGCTTTTGAAAGTCACAACAGCCAACAACAAGGGAAGCAGCAGAGGTTTTGAAGCTACATATGATGGAGAATCCACTTCCTTCCACTTGCAGAAAGCCTCAGTCCAAGAGTCAGACTCGGCTGTGTACTACTGTGCTCTGAGTGACACAGTGTCACAATCTGCAGGGGGAGCTGAGCACAAGCTCTGAGAAGCAAAAGAAAGTCTGACTTCTGATGATCTGCCTGTCAGATGACTCCGTTTTCTACAAAGTCTGTGCTGTGTACCCCAATAATTCTCTGGTTGGTGGAAATCACAAATTGGTCAGCGAAGAACAAGAAGTGGATGTTACCACAGCTGGATTTCATAGGAGAAACTGCAACCCTAGGAATCAACGTTTCCTTATGGAGGGTCACACTTATTTCACAGGAGAGCCCTGGAAACAATGAAATGGTCAGTTGTCTTGATCTCTATATACAAATCATTGTCTTCATATTGTTGCATGCAACTCTGTCCCAAGTTATTCACAGAGAGCTAAATATGTCAGAAAACGTGGTGATAATTACTACTTAATGCTATGGAAGGAGAGGTTATCAGAGGGTTACAACCCTTCCTACCTCAAGATTAATAATAAAGAAATATGGTTAGAAAAGAAGGAGAAAGGGAGGCTGGATGGAGTAGGTGATCTTCAGAGTTTTCATGTCTCTCCTTCTCTAAATCCAACATGAATCCAATACCCAGCTCTGTAGCTAACTGCCTACACTGGCCCCTTGTCTTACTTTGTCCCCATTCTCAGAGCACTAAGAAGATCCTACTGGCACACCCTGATTTCCTCCCCACTGTGAGTCTCCTCACCCCAGCCCTTTTGTAGCCCTTCTCCAGGCCTAAGCTTCAGCACCCAATACCAAGACACACATTATATCTAGAACCTTAGTGGCCACACCTGCCAGGATTTCAGCCTACCAGACAAGCCACAGTCACTACACTCTCCTAAGAGCCAGAGAGGGCAAGAAAAACCAAAGAACAGAACAGGAAACAATTAAAAAGATGAAATATCAGCACCAAGAATCACAGTAATTCCAAACCCCAATGCCTAGACTGCGCATGCAAACAGTCAACAACAGCTAGATGAAATGTCTCCACTAAAGCTCAGAATCCTAACTACCATCATCCCTGAGAAATGCTGTATAGCTGAAGCACGAGACAAGCACTTCACAATAGATGTTATGAGTACGTTAGAGGTCTTGAAAGATGAAATGAATAAATCCCTTAAAAATCTATAAAAACACAAGCAAGCAATGAAATAAAATGAGGAAAATAGGTCAAGACTTGCAAGTAAAATAGAGTCAATAAAGAAAACAAAAAGTGAGGGAAGAGTGGAAACCAAAAATTTAGTAACTCGAGCAGGAAGCTCAGAGGCAAGACTCACTAAGAAATTAAAAGAGATGGAAGAAATCTCAGTTAATGAAGATATGATAGAAGACATAGATACTTTGGTCAAAGAAGGGAGGAGAGGAAGGAAGGGAAACTGGTTTGTGGATTAAAATAAATAACGAAGTATTATTTTAAAAAGAACACAGGAAGAATAAAAAGTATTAAATCTAGGAATATCTAGGCACAAAATATCCATGTAATCTAGATACTTTGAAAATACCAAATCTACAAATAATAGGCATAGATGAATGAGAAGAAGCCCAGGTCAAAGGCACAGAAAATATTTTAAATATTGTCATAGAAGAAAGTTTCCCCAATCCTAAAAATGGGGATACCTATCAAGGCACATGGACTATACAGATCACTAACCATATTGGACCATAAAAGAAAGTCTTATGACACTTAATAATTAATGATTAATGTACAGAATGAAGAACTAAATAACATATAAAGGCAGACAAATCATAATAATACTTATCTTCTCAATAGATAATCTAAAGTCCAGAATACTCTTGGCATATGTTCTACAAATTCTAAGAGACCACAGGTGCCACTCAGACTACTATACCCAGCAAAATTTCAGTCACATTCATGGAGTAATATATTCATGCAGAATCTACTGTAAAGGGACATTTTTCTGTTCGGCCTCATCCTGCAGTCACTTTTAAATACTCACTCAGAACCTTATATTAATTGTAAGTATTTGGACAATAACTCGGGCTTAATCTAACTAGCACTGACATTTAAATTAACCAGTTTCTATTAATGTATGCACTGTCATGTGCCTGTGGCTTTATAGGTTCATTGACATCTTGCTTCTTTGGTGATGGGTTTATGTCTCTCTTGATTCTGTCCCTCCTCATCTGAATCCTCAGTTTGATTGTCCTGCCTAATCAATCTTTTTTTTTTTTTTTTTTGGTTTTTCGAGACAGGGTTTCTCTGTGGCTTTGGAGGCTGTCATGGAACTAGCTCTTGTAGTCCAGGCTGGCCTTGAACTCACAGAGATCCTCCTGCCTCTGCCTCCCAAGTGCTGGGATTAAAGGCGTGCGCCACCAATGCCCGGTTGTCCTGCCTAATCTTATCCTGCCTGACTATCGGTAAAACAACATTTATCATCAACCAATGGGACCAATACATACAGTGTACAGAATAATCGCATAGCAATTTATCTACAAACCCAGCCCTAGAGAAGGCACTAGAAGGAAGACTTCAACGTGAAAACAATAGCCACACCTATGAAAACAAACAAACCACAGAACAGGAGAAAGAAATATATCACCACTGCCACAAGAAAAACTGGGAATCAAAAACCACTGCTCATTGACATCTCTCAATGTCAAATTGTCTACATTCCCCCAACAAAACAGTACCCTCCTTATGCTGTTTCCAAGAGATACACCTTAACATTAAGCATAAATATCACACCCAATAAAAGAAGGGGAAAAAAGATGCTCCAAGCAAATGGACCTAAGAAGCAAGTCAGTGTAGCCATTTGAATATCTGTTTAATAAATCCTCAAACTAAACATAATCAGAAGAGACATTGAAAGACATTACATATTCATCAAAGAAAAATTCCATCAGGAGTACATAGACAGTTCCGGCAGAGTGCTTGGCAAGCTAGGGACTATGGCCTCCTTCCTCCGGGGCCCCACCACCTCAGGCCTGGGCCGGGTGAGCCAGGGGCCCAGGAACAGCTTCGGTCTGTGTCGTTGGGACCCTAGGAGCCCCAGGCCTCACAGCAGACACCAACCTGGCCAAGTGGATTCTACAGGGACTCTTCCTCCTCCAACGAAGCCCCGCAATGGCGGCGACCTCTGCGCGCGGCCTCCTTGACCCCACTGGACCCCTGCTCTCCAGGGCCAGGCCCATGGAGAAGCTCCAGGCAGGCCTTCAAGGTCTTCTTCCGGTGTTGGCTGGCATGGCGGAAAGAATGGGGGCCACTCGAAGGCCAAGGTTGGCTCTTCGGGGCCTCTGCAGCCTGAGGTGGCAGATCTGGGCAGAAGCCCTCCACCATCGCTGGGAGCGAACTGCGTGGTTGAGTAGCCCTAGGACCTGGAAGAACTGAGGCCTCGAAGGTCCTAGAGGAAGGTGAGTCGAGCCCCTCATAGCGGCTGGGGGAAGGTTCCCTAGTGGGGGCGCCCCGGGTCCTCCTTCCACCAGAAAGAAGCCTGAAGGAGATGTCACATGCAGCCAGTCAGAAACGCTGGCGAAGATTTGCCCTCCGCCATAGAAGGCCTTGTATATAATATGAAAAAGCTGCTCTCAACCTTTCCTCCAACCCTTTTAGAGAGACCTTTGGCTAAATCTGGGCATGTAGCTTTAGTGATTGCCGACACAGCATAAAGTAGAGGTAGGAATCACATGTGTATATCCAGTCGTCTTAAAAAAACATTGTAGACGTGTCTTCCAGAAGTGACTTTGCAATGTAATTGTTTAAGCCATATCTAGAAAAGACCCCAGGAGCAACACTCGTCCTTGTCTGTTCAATAGGCTAGAGGACCCAGCAGGAGGAAGAGGTACGGATCCAGATTGGTTGTGTGAAGACGTCTTTATTTGGTGTTCTATTGCGTATACATTTTATTCATTTCAACCCCGCCCCTCCGTGTGTGTGTTTGTGTGTGTGTGTGTGTGTGTGTGTGTGTTTGACAATGCCAAGTATTTTTTGGAAAAGATCTTTCTAGATACTCTAAAGTGCCTGATATATTTTATAAGTAGCAGTAGTAGTAAAACAACACATTATGTAAATACGTTTTTGTTAGGATTCATTTGAAATATTGTTTGGGGAGGAATAGACAAAGCCCTCCTGAGTTGACTGCATTGTGTTTGTCCCTCGGTTTCTAGGAGGAGGAAATGTAAAGCTCTAAGTCATTGTGCTCCATGGGTGGAAAAGAAACCACTGTCCCATTTTGTTTGGCTTTGCTGTGTACATAATATATATATATATATGTATGTATGTGTGTGTGTGTGTGTGTGTGTGTGATAAAGGAGTGCTATTTTCAACATCTATCACTCTAGATGTTAAAGAGGTAGATAGTGTATGACAAAGAAGAGGTAGTAGAACAATATTTTGTACTTTTGTGTTAACATTTTTCTTTTTGTGTTAAAAATTTTTAATTACTACTCTTGTTAATTATACCGTTTACGGGACTGCTGTGTACATAGTGAACAACAGTCCTTACTTGAAACATCTGGTCTATCTAGATGTTTAGAAGTGCCCAACATATGTTAAATGTAGAGGTAGTAAAATATCACTTTTTAAATATCTTTTTACTAAAATTAACGAAACGCTGCCTTTGGGGGTGGAATTATGAACTCCTCTGTGAGCAGTTCTGTCTGTCCTTCCTCAGTGCTCTTGAGGAAGTAGTGGGAGGCAGCAAGGTCGTGTACTAGTGTTTTCATATGGGACCTCTCAGATGTCATTTCTATATATTTATATTTTGTTTTGCTGTGTGTACTGTATATAATGGACAAATATGTCTAAAAATTTCAGCTTCTAGTCTCTAAATGTTAAAGAGGTTGCCAATATATGACAAAGTAGTAAAATTAGCACATTGTGTACACTGTTAAAATTTATAGGAAAGATTGCTCTGTAAATGATTTGGGGATATCAAATTATTCATCAATTCTAAGCATTGTATATGCCTGTATCTGTCTACTGGTTTGAAGGCAGAGAGAAGGGAGAAAAGAAGAAAGTGGGTCAAAGCCCAGATGGTTACATTTAGAAGAGGCCTCAAATAACCATTGCTTTACGTACAGTTTCATTTGCCAGTACAGT